TACCAAAGGAGCCAACGTGAGCTTGAAGGTTTGAAAAGAGTATATAAATACATCTATGATTATATTCTAGAACGATCTGTTTCAGTGACATACCTGGCAGCCATTTGGAGTTCAGATTACCTCAATTTAGGTATGGCAGATTTATCTTTTTCCCAAACATATGATTTCTCTCCCTGTCTCACTGACATTGAGCTTGACCATGTGACTTTGCTCTGTGTTCTCTACCAAGGAGCTCTGCAAGTCTGTAGACAGTGGCTGCCCCATTAGCAAGAGGATGTGGAATAGTACTATATAGTCAAGTATAGTCCCATACTTTCCAGGATTTTAACAAGTCTTACTGAGGTCAGGGTAACTGTCTAAGTAAAACACCCTAAAAATCAATGGATCCTTTTTCCAGGTCTTCTGTTCATGCAGCATAACTGAACCTAGCCTGGACTGATGAAGAAGACCAAAGCAATAATTTATGAAACATTTATGACACTTTAAAGTAGAACAGTGGCAATCATATTGGAGAAAATGGAACCAAATGGAGGCATATGTGTAAGGCTGGCAAGGAGAGATGGGGAATCAAAATCATATGCTATGAACTATAAAAAAGGAAAGGAAAAAAAACTCAAATTTGCTATCAAACAGGTAACCAGAGGGAAGTTGGATTGTATGAGTTATATATGACCCCAAAGGAGAATACTAAGATAAAGAAACGAAAGTTGTAGGAAGACAGATTTCTACTCAGTATTAAAAAAAAGGACTTTCTAACCCTGAGTACTCCCTGAAGATGTAAAGCTGTGTTCACATAACCAGAAGTATTCAAAGAAGGAATGACCAAGTAAAAAGGATATTACAGAATGCAATCCCAGAATTGGTTGGTTGAATAGACTAACTTTTAAATGTTGTCTCCACCTCTGCAAAGAGTTGATATTTCACTGTACTTCTATTAGCTATAATAGCAGCTACCCATTTATTGAGCTCTTATGATGAGAGAACTGTACTGAACCCAAACAACCTTTCACCATTTTATAGGTAAATAAACATGGGTAAGCTTATCACATATCACATACTTAAGTGGTAGAGCTGAAATTCAGAATATCTCCTGTCTCTGAAAGCAAAAAAGGGATTTCTATAAATATGTGCCCCTAGACAGATATATAACATACCACCAAAAACATTGTCTTCTGTATGATACCTTTATGGAAAATGCTCTTTAGTGAGTAGCAGTGGGGTTTTTTAACTTGTTTTTTTGGGGGGATGAGGTGGGGGCTATTATATGATCTAAATATCCGTAACATATTATAGGCAAATAGTGAAAAGTTAGAAATGAAAAAAGAGTAAATGAAAGATGAAATTGTGACATTACTGTACCTTAGAATGTAAAATATTTTACACGGTGTCAATACAGTATTATCTCAGCACCAATGGTAACAAAAAAAATGAAATGATTTATTCTGTGTAGAGGTTTTTGTTACCTTAAGTTTCTAGAGTAATTATTTTAATCACTGAAGCACATCATCCTGTACACATTAGCAATCAAAGCCTTTTATGTAAAGAAGATCAATTTATATGACTCCCCCACAGCTGTAATCTAGAGTTTCTCAGGGTAATATATGAAATTCTTTTAATTAAACATATTCTTGCACTTAAAAAAATAAATTGCTGTACAAACTTTGTTAATGTGCAAACTGAAGAAAAAATTGTTCCAGAAGCACACACTTCTGCAAGTGATGCTGCCCTGGATGATCTGTTCAATAACCTCAATTCTGCTTTCCATGCCAGAACCTCACAATGTCCACATGGAGAAGCAAGTCAACATTACCTGAATAGTACTTAGGCATAACAGAAAATTTCCAAGAAAAGGGTAGCAAACTATACCTGTGTTAATTTAGGTTGTAAACAGGTGAGGACGTTATAGCAAATGTTCTAAACTCAAGAAAAATAAAAAGGGCAAGTATATATTAATCTTTCCAGTTTCTGTTGACAATGAATAAAGAAAGCTGACAACAACCATTTAAAATGCTTCCCAGCTTCATGAATGGGGTAACTTTCATTCATAAACTAAATACATCGTTTAAATTAAATGAAGAGAAGAATATCATTTTACAGGACAAAAGGATTAGCAAAATTTTTTAAAAGAATCCCAGATTATGCATATGAACTTGTAGGGAAGCTTGATTATTAATTGTTTTCTAAAAGATAAGCTAATTTCATTTGTCTCAAAATTAACTCTTATAATTCAAATAGAATTCAAATAAACCATTCTGGGACTATTTTAATTAATGAATACAAACTGAATTATGCAAAATAAATTTATGGGAAAAATTAAAAATTATTGACATTTACAACATGTCACGCACATGTTGGATATATTATATACATTCACAAAAACTCTTCAGTGACCCATACTTCACAGGATTTTAACAAAACTTACTGAGGTCAGGGTAACTGTCTAAGTAAAACATCCTAAAATCAAACCAATTTCTAACCCAAACATCTTTAGATCTTTCCCGAATTTTACTGTGTGTCACAATTAATTTTCTCAAAAGTAATAATTTAACTTGACCTGGACTTTAGTTTTCATCATAAATTCTGAATTCATGAGCCCAGAATAAATGAATTATGCTCATTTCTTTCCCTTCTCAGCTTTTGGGCTCTTCTAATTTTCTCTCAACAAAGAAAAAGGATTAGCTACCATTCAAACTACAAGACTAAAAATTCAACCACAAATTCATTAATATTTTTTGAAAGGAATAAACCATCATATTAAAAAAAATGGCACACTACAATATTAAAAACTATATACTTTGTTCCACATTCCCTAGAAATTCTATATTTTAAAAATGTGCTTAAACGTACATTGATTACTAAACTGGTTTAAAAAACAAAAACAAAAAAGACTCATTCTAACACAGCATTACAGAAACAACAAATTTTCCACATTTTCCTCAAGGGAATCTGTATGTAATTTTGTTCTGTTGTATTTTGCAGTAGGGGAAGAGAACTGAAAAAATTCAGAATATTTAAGAGTACTCAATGCTTAAACAAAATCAACACTTCTGTGAGTATACAACACCTTAGCAACAGATAATCTCTACGTCTACTCCAAATTACAGGATTGGGACCAAAACTAATTCAGAACGAAAAAAATCAAGAAATTTGGAAGGAAGGGATGTTCTACAGTTAAAATATCTGAAACAGTGATACTGTAATGATATCATCTTAGATGACAGCTTGGCTATGAAACTCTAGTAGTAGACTATCCTTTCAGCTTTGATGACCTACAAGTACTATCCTATCCATAGATTCAGGAAGAAAAGTGAAAATGTTTCAAGTAAGGGGCAGGGTATATAGAGCAGTTGGTAAGTGCTTGCCTTGCATACACAAGACCCTGGGTTCAATCCCCAGCAAAAGAAAGAGAAAGAAAGAAGAAGGAAGGAAGGAAGGGAGGGAGGGAGGGAGGGAGGGAGGGAGGGAATGTTTCAAGTAAGGAGGTGTGCAAACAACGACAAGAATATATCAAAGGGGGGTTTCCCCAGCCAAATCTGAAAGTATCAAAATAAATGATGGTAGTAATGAATGATAATCCATTGAATAAAATAGCAGTCCATGAACCCAAATTTATACAATATTCAGAGAGAGAAAACAGAATGGAAGAACATGAAAACCTCTCCCTTATGCCATTGCCAACTAAGAAAAACAGAAATAATGGTGGCATTTAACATTAGCGCCATACTGGTAATTATCGATTTAGGCCAGGTCTACAAATAGAGACTAAAACAAGTATATTTGGGTTTTGTTTGTGGTTGTTGTTATGTTTTGTTTTGTTTTGGTTTGGTTTTGCAGTACTGGGGGTTGAATACATAGCCTTACACGTGGGTACCTACTCAATCTCCTCTCCCCACCCCTTTTTGTTTAAATTTTGAGACAGGGTCTCTCTAAGTTGCCCAGACTTGCCTTAAACTTGTGGTCCTACTATTGCCTCAGCCTCCCAATTAGCTGGGATTACATATGTGTGCCACCATGCTCAGCATACAGTTCACATTTTGATGACAAAGAGGGTAATTACACACTCCCATTGTATCTGGCTAAAAATTACATAAAGGAAAGACATAACAGAGAAAGATCATAGTTAACAAAACATTATCTGTGAAGAAATCTGATAGAACATCACTTCAATGAAATGATCAAAAATGATAACATCATTAATCACATTATATGCCTCCTGCCATGACACAGAACATAGAACTCACAACCACTTCTACAGCATTCCTACTAAAAAGCATAAGCTGAATCTATCATGAGAAATCTATCTTCAATTGAGGAGCCAACATATGCTAGTATCAAAAAAAGAAAGACAAACTTCTGTATTTAGAGACATGAAACCTAAATGATGCATTATCATGGGGGTGAGTCTCAAGGAGCTAAGCTGTAAGGACATAACTGGGACAACTGACAACATCTGAATTAAGCTACAGATTAAATAATGGCATTTAATCAATGTTAAATCTCCTTTCATAATTATACTGTGCTTATGTGAAAGGAAATCCTTATCCTTAAGAAATATACACCTAAATACTCAAGGGAGAAAAGAATAATGATGTTGAGGCTACTCGTGGTTCATGGTTCATTTTAAAAACAAAAAACAAGAAACAATATGGAGGAGAAAGGAGTTATTTCTATGTACTATTCCTGAAATATTCCCTTCCTTCTTTTTTTCCTTCCCTTTTCTTTTTAAAATTTAGTATTAGGTATTAAGCTATAGCTCCAATCCTTTTTCATTTTTGTTTTGAGACAGGGCCTTTGTAAGTTGCCCATGCTGGCCTCAAACTTGTGATTCTCCTGCCTCAGCCTCCCAAGAAACTGGGATTATAGATAACATGACACCAAGCCCAGCCAGGCATACTTTAATTTTTACACTAATAATAAAATCACTGTATATAAAAAAATCCTGAGATTTAGCAATATACTTGAATGCTTCAAAACAACTGTCATCCTGTTCCCTTTCTTACCTTTCTAAGAGATTGTGGATCGCTTTGAAGAGCAGCGTCCTACATTCATAGGAAAGGCCATTTTCCCAGAGTCCTTCTTCCACAACTGAAAAACAAAAAGAGAAGGGGGGAAAAAAAACAGTAAAAAGGACATCCAAATAAAATAAAGAAACTTTTAAAACCTTTTTTAAAGCAAAGTTAATGAGTTAATTTAAATGACTTAATCTTACACTGGAACAGAGAAATAAAGTCAAGTACTTCTCAAAATAATAAAATACTTAAACACAAATTTTTTATTAAAGTCTTTGAAACATGAAGCATGATGCAATTCTCCTTCCATAAAGGTCTTTCCAACCTGCTTCCAATTAGTTTAAAATTATCTTGAAATTCTGAAATTAACTTTCCACCAAATAGTGCCACAAAGACTAATTTATTAATGTTCTCTTCAAGATAACAAGAATGCCACAAATTCATACCAAGATTATAATATATATTTTCAAAGAGTAAATAAAGAAGAAATAATTTCTTATAGTGTCAGAATTACACAAATTTCTTTAAGGTAGATAATTTCTGGATAGGATTTTAAAGTTATGATTTTAGGGAGACTGTCAGGAATTAAACTAAACCTTCCAAATAACATCAAATTTACTTTCTAAATCCGTAATTTTGTGAATATTTTACATTTTGGGAAATATCATATTTGGCTTTGAAATGTTAGAATATTGAGCCACAAATAATACCAAAAAATTTCAAGACAAACAATGTCCCATGTATTCTTAAAATTCTTTCCTTTCATAAGTATATAAACAGACAGAAAATGCCCCAGGAAACTATAATTTCCTTTTTAAATTACATTAGTTCAAGTCACCAAAAAATTGACAAGATGGAAACATTTGCAAAAGAAAGTTTCTTTTCCCTTTTATTTTTATCTTAACAAAATTATTCACTTGAGAAAATTCTGATCAGAGAATCAAAACATACATTGAATCCACAGTGCATTTTAATGCTTTCTGCCATACCAACAGATATCCCCACATTTTCTAAACACATAGCATTTTTAAAAAATGTATTTACATTCATGCCTTTTGTGTGTAAGACTCTTTTTTTTTTATTTTAAAACTAGTCCAATACTTTTCCTTGGTATGTGAATTAAAAAAAAAAAAAAAATTCTATGTGGCTGATATTGACTTATTGAAGATTCCCAAATCCTGCTTTATCAAACTATTTGTTATTTGCAGCTTTTTTTAAAAATGGGGAAAAATGTATAGTAAATAGACAAGCATTCCTGCTAGCAAGGGATAGTCAAAGGTTTCGTGAAATCCCTATTCTCCCATGTTCCCCTTCTAGAGGAACTTTCCAGGGTTGGAAAGAGAACTCACATTCACAGTAAATACCCCATTTTTAATTGCTTTTCATTCTTAATATGTTTCACTGGCTCTAAGGGTACCATCAGCTTTTAACTATCATTTTATAAATCACCGAGAGAAAGGGAAGGTAACAAATAAATATCTCAATCACAAAATTTTTATAAGAGCTCCTTAAGACTAATTGAGATGTGTTCATTATTTATCATTATTATGCACATAAACAGATGTTAGCAAAATAAATTAATTGAAAATTCCTAACACTTAATAGTCTTAAGTCCAACTCTTCTAAATCACTCTTCAAATCAATTACTGATATCAGTGTTTTTCTAAAAATAGTCCATTGTACCATAAATGGTGTTGGTATAGCATTTGTGAAAAATGTTTCCTGCTCTTATTTGCAGGATTGTCTTCCCAGTTTGTGATACCAATTATCACACCTTTTAAAAACTTTTTATAAGGGCTAGGATTGTGGCTCAGCAGTAGAGCACTTGCCTAAGCATGTGCGAGGCCCTGGGTTCAATCCTCAGCACCACATATAAATTTTTTTAAAAATAAAGGTATTGTGTCCAATAACTAAAAAATATTTTAAAACTTTTTATAATTATAACCTTCAAACATACTTAAAAATAGAGTAACAAGTTCAAAATATTTCTAACCAAAAGTTATCAACATTATGTTATCTGCTTCAAATATTCTACTTTGTTTTCTTTCCCTTTTTGTCCTGATATAGTCATGTATAAGTTAATAATAGGAAACTTTCTGAGAAATACATCATTAGGGGGATTTTGTCATTGTGCGAACTTCATAGAGTGTGCTTACAAACAAAATGGTATGGTCAGTCACTTCATGTGGCCCTTGATTCAATCAAAAGGCACAGTAAACAGAAGATGAATGTTGCTACTACCAGTGTACCATGGCACCGCATTTTACAATAAATTTTATTTTTAAATAAATAGGGGTGCACTCTAAAATTACAAAACTTAGTGCAGTCTGAGCATCCCTAGCTCAAAAATCTAAAATGTTCTATAATTAGAAACTCTCAACACTCAAAAAGTTTAAAACTTTGGTGCACTTCAGATTTCCATATGAGTGATGCTCACAGGGTAAAGTCTATACAAACGTTCCAAAATCTGAAAAGCAGTGAAATCTGAAACACATCTGGTCTTTCGGATAAGGAATGTTCGGATAAGGAATATAGAAAACCAGTAACACAGTCATTTATTATCATGATTGAGTATTACATTTATTATCATGATTGAGTATTACATAATATTGAGTATTACATAATATTACATAATATTGAGTATTACATAATACTCAATCATGATAATAAATGTATACTTCTATACAATTGGCAAGACAGCATGTTTTTTTACATCAGCATCACTACACGTAAGGCGCTGCACGGCGCTACGCTATGATGTCACTCACTAAGCAACAGAAATTTTTACGGCCATTATAATCTTATAGGACCAATGTGTTGACCAAAATGTCATGTCACTCGTGACTATTCTTTAAGCAAATTCCACTCCTACATACTTTGATATGCAGCAAATCAGAATCTGAACAAGGTCTACCAATTGTATTTTAAGTCTCCTTTAATATGGAACAGTACATCTCCATGAAAAGAAAAAAAATGGTTTCAAAGGCTGGTTAAAGAAACCAAGCTAGCTGTCTTATAGGATACATTGTATTTGCATCTAATTATTTCGTCATGATATTTAACATTTTATAAGTTTGTTTGTTTTAGGCCTTTTGCAAATCTGATGATCAAAGCCAAAGCCTCAAGCATACTAGGCAAGTATTTTACCACTGAACAGTGGAGAGCCATCTGTGGACTATGTATGGACCAAACTGGCACCAAAGCCAGTGAATAGGAAAATACGGAATCTGGGAACTTCCAGTGGCAATCCTGGTTAAGACCACCCAGATATATGTGAGTTTCTATTCAGCTCTGCCAAAAAGGTCCCTCACAGCACTGGAGATGGGGTGACCTGCTGCAGCAACCTAGCCAAACAGAAACCCAGAGATGGGTGTGGTTTTCCAAGATGCCCATCAACCTGTTGAATGCAAGACATCATGAAGCAAGACTCCACCCCTGAAACCTTATCCCTGCCTTTGATGTACCCCCCCTCCAAAAAAAAAAAAAAAAAAAAAAAAAAAAAAAGCCGACCAGAGCCATTTTTTAACTGTTCTGTTCCAGTTCCTACAAGGACTGGAAGAACCAATCAGATGCTCCCTTAAAACTAATTCTGATTTTGTCTCTTATTTCTTCACTAATTACTTCAGAATTTAATTTTTCTCAGGTGGCTTATCCCCTCCTATGCAGGAAGAATTACCCTGGTGAGGTGCTGGCTGCCTTGTGATACTGAACTACACCCCCAACCTTTTTTTATTTTACAATTCTCTAAGTTATCCAAGCTAGTCCTGAACCTAAGATCCTCTTGCCTCTGCTTCCTCAGTAGCAGGGGTAAAGGCAGTGAGCCAGCTAGCCTCCGCTCATTTTGCAAGTGTTATGCTGGTGCTATACCTTAAACTTATCAGAGGATATTCTCCCCACCAAAAAAAAGTTCTCAGATAGTAGCCATACTCTTTATTTTGCCCTCAAATGGTCCTCAAGACTTTGTTAAATGAAATGTTGAGGTGTTACCCCTGTCCAGCACTGCAACGTAGAACACTAAAAAAGTCTGAGCATGCAAAGGCAATGCCAACTTTATCCCAATTTCTGAACAGCCAACACAATTTCCCATATATAAATATGATTTTATCCTGATTTCAATAATTTTGAAATATCTTAGAATTTTTTCTTCTAAAAAGAATCCTTAAAATGTCATTACCAAAAATCCTACAACTAACATCATACTTAATGGCAAAAGACATAATTAAGGTGTCTGTTCTCACCAATCCTGTTGGGAGATCCTCACATTCAATTGAGGTCTCATTCAGTACAATAACAGGAAAAGAAAGAAATACCAGACAAATTGGAATGGAAGAAATAAAACTGCTGCCCTATTTCACAAGATACAACTGTTCATCAGATATTCCTAAAGAACCAACCAAACAAAAAAATCAACTAGAACTAAAGGTATTGAGCTAAATCACAAAATAAAAGGCAAAAAAAAAAAAAAAATCACATTTCTATATACTGGAATGTTTATTATTAAATACCACATAGTTAGAAACTGAAATTCTGTGGAAGTATCATTTACAGTAGCATGGAATACTTGGGTATGAATCTTATAAATTATGTGTAAAATTTATAGGCTAGAAATTATAATACTGACAAAAAAATTTTAAAAAACACCTTAATAATTAAAAATTAAATTGCTCATGAACTGGAAAAATCTATATTGTTAAGATGATGATTCTTCCCAAACCAATCTATATAGTCAACTCAATTTCAATCAAAATCCATGCAGGATGTTTTACAGGAATAGAGTAGTTGAGTTACATATTTATATGAAAAAGAACTCAAAAAAATGAAAGCAATGAAGAAAAATGCATTTGGAGGACTCCTACTACCTGATTTCCAGACTTACTGTGAAGCTAGAACAGACAAGACAGAGTGGTAGTAGAGAAAGGACAGACGTGCAGGACATAAGTTCAACACAGCAGAAGAGTCCAGGCATGGACTGACAAACATATGATCCCCCACCCCCACCAAAAGCGCCATGCTGTCTTCTCAACAAATGGTGCTAGAAGGAATGCATATTACTATGTGTCAAAATCAAAATAAAAC